ATCACTCCACAATCCACACTGTCCCAATCTCTCTATTTTGGCTTTTATCCTTTCATCAGCACCATCACCGACTCTCTGCAGTTACTCCCATGGCAGATTTACTCATGCATTCAAGATCTTGCATTTAAATAGCTTCTAAAAGGAATCTTACTCAAATTCGTCAGTTTGATTTACAACATCAAAAGGAAAATTCGTGGATAGTTGTATTTGATTGATGTTACCAAGTCTTGCCTCAATTTAATTAGCCAAGTGAGTTTCTTTTCAACTTTTAATCATTTTTTGGGTTAATACAAATTCTCTATTTCTCGCATAATATCCCCTCCCCCAAATTAAATTGCCTCCATCACTATTGCAGATGTAAGAGGTATTGTGCTCAATTGCCAAGCACTACCTCACTGATGGTGATGCAGTAGCTATTGGAGAGACTAAAGAATGGGCTCCGAAACAATAAAGGAAAGGACAAGGCGTTACTTTCCGTGTCTAGTCCTCTGTGGATGGTAATCACTCGCAGATTGTTTTTTGGTCTTTTGACCATATCTCCAAGCTACTAGAGAAAGGAAAACGGAGTAGAACTCATGTATGCGAAGGTGGGGATTCCTTGAGGTGAAAATCGAATAGGAGAAGCAAATAATTAGTTCTGAGGTTTGAATTTCAAACCTTAAACAAGCAAAAGGGTATATGAAAATAAGAGAATTATTTTGTATTGTATAGCATAAGAGGAGGTTTTCATTTTATTTTGATAGCTTATATTTGGGCTATTTGACCCAATATATTGTTTATAAATTATTGTAAGTTTATTATAGTTTTCAAATTTAATCGAAATTTATATTGATTAGGGTTAATTATCCAATAAATATCCAAATCATCCACTTGAAAAATAAGATTATTGAAATCACACAACATTTTAAATATTAATAAAAAGATTCAATAGCTGCGTATAGAGCGAGTAGATCACTTGGAAAAGGAGAAAATTGGGAGGGGATTTGAGCGGTTGCTGAACATCTGTAGGAAGAATTGTGGAGAATACGGGCTTGCTTGGTTAGATGGGCTTTTATTGGAAAGAAATTGGGGAATTGGTGATCGATAGATAGATAGGTAGAACAGTGGGTTTTTAGAGTGGATTGGAAGATTGGGTTTAAATGAAATAACTATTGAGCTTCAAAACACCAATAATTGGGTATTTTTTAATGATTTAAGTGGTATTGATTTTTTAATCATGTAAAGAAGATTAGTGGGTTTTTAGAGCGGATTGGAGGATTGGGTTTGAATGAAATAATTATTGAGCTTTAAAACACCTATA